CAAACAAAGAATGCAGCAAAAGAAACAACAAACAATAAAAAGACAACTTACAGAATGGGAAAAAAACATTTGTAACTATTAATCTCACATGGAATTAATATCCTGAATGTATAAGAAAATAAAAAAACTGAAGACCAAAATATTCAATTAAAATGGACTATTGATCTAACTAAAGCCTTCTGAAGTAAGGTAGACAACTTCTTAAGAATTTCATGAAAAAAGTATTAAATATCACTATCCATCAGGAAAATACACACTAAAACTACAATGAGATATCATGCCAACCCAAATACGTGGATACAAGTAAAAAGATAGAAAATAACAAATGTTAATGAGGATGCAAAGAAAAGGAAACTGTTATATACTGTTTATAAATGTAAGAGCATAACTACCTGGAAAACAGTATGGAGATTCCCTTTAAATGTAGATATCTGTACACCATCAGATAAAGAAATCCCATAGGTTAATATATATTCGATTATTATACCAAAAAGGCACTTTAACTCCTATGTTCGTTGCATTCCTATTCACAATAGATAAGAAATAGAATAAAGCTACCACCCATCAGTAAATGAAAAGAAAAGTAACATTTCTAAGTGGGGAAAAATGGTGGTAGATAGAGGGAGGCCAAGGTTGTGGGGTAAGGTATTGGGGGAGGGAGAAGTGGATGAATGATAACAAAGTACACAACACAAATATATGCATAAATGAAAATGTGAGGATGAAACATATTACTTTGGATGCTAACATAAAATACTAATTTAAAATTTATTAGTAAAAAGAAAATACCACACATCAGCACTAGAGAAGTTGGTAGCAAAGCAAGGAAAGTCAGGATCCTATTTATAGGGACCCAGAGACGTTTCTGCATGCAATGAAGACGGAAATGACTCTACATTGTGGAGAGATTAACAATGGACCCCTAAATCAGCAGCCAATGATATGTGTAGAGAATGTCAGGAAGAAAGTTAAATAAAATCCAGGGACCCAATGAAATGCACAGAATATGAGACAGAATAATGAACAAGAAACAGACTAAAAGATTGATTACTTTTGATGCTCAGTGAAAGATGGGAAATCAAGAGTATCTTCATTTATGCCTACATTTGACCCACTAGTATTTATTATTGTTCTATGGATTTTGATTTTGTATACTTATCTTGTGAGTACAACTGTATACATACAATTTAAGTTTAGAAGGAGATTATGTTTTAATACTTTGTATAAAAAACTGGTTTAAAAAAAGAAAATGTCATATATGTGTATATACACAGCAGAATATTTTTTAGAAAAAAAATCTGATCTCTTCCAGCAACATATATAAAACCAAAGATCATTTTGTTAAATGAAGTTAGGCAGACACGGTAAGGTAGATATCGCATATTTTTACTAATTAGTGGAAACTAAAATCTGATTACAAAGAACAGTGAAGTAGAATAGTGGTCACTGAAAACTGGAAAGGACAATGGGGAGAAAGAATGGAAATAAAAAAAGTCAGAGGGAGTCAAACACACAGAGAAAAAATTAGTTCTGGCTTCCTATAGAACAGCAAGATAACCATTGGTGACAAAATTCTGCAATATATTTCACAATAACTAGAGAAGTATGAATTTCTAGCACATAAATGATTAACACTTAAAGGGATGAAAGTGTGTATTACCCTGATTTGATCATAATGCATTGCATAGGTATACTGAATTATTATATTGTTCCCCATAAAGATGTATAAATATTATGCCTCAATAAAAAGAAAACAGTTTGAAGCAGGCATATTCGTTATGATCTCAGTTAAATGACATTCTGAAAAAAGAAAATGATAGTGATGTTAAAACAGCAGCAGCTGTCACACATTTAGGATAAGAAAGAAAAATTGAATGTAAGAACCAGGAGATTTTTTTATGATGATGAAACTATGTTATATTAAAATATATTGGTAGCTATGTGACACTTTGCATTTATATAAAATAAGGTCCTTTAGAATAAGAAACAAAACATTATGCATGGAAAATTTAAAAATAATATGTACCAGGTTTGACAATTCTGAAACTGAATGAAAAGTGAGGCAAATCAGTATAATTTTATTGCTGTTTTGTGAAACAGTCTCATAAATATGTACAGACAGCATTGTTGCTAAACTAAGCCATTTTCGAAAAGAACGGACATTGTAAAACTACAGAAAAAAGTTGCTAACAATTAGAGGTCTCTATTTGATAAAGAAGTCTCCCACATGGAGGCGTAAGTTAACAGTCCCCAAACTGCTATACATTTGTGTACTTGAAGTGAAAAACTAAGTAAATGAATGACAACTGGTTTGAACTGTTTTTTGTTGTTGTTGTAGATGGTTGCACATCAACATGGGAAGGAAACCAGATTATCTATGTAGTAATATATTGGAGTTGGAGAAAAAATATGAATTCATGTTTAGTCTGTAGACATCTGTAAGTATATGTTTGTACAGTAGTTAGTCAATCCACATATATTACTTCTTACCTGAAGTGATCTAGAAGCAATGACACCCCAGATATTGGTCTCCAGTAGCATTTTCAAATAAAGTAGCTAAGACTCAAGAAATAGACAATTCCAGGTGTTTTTCACACATAAATGAACAGAATCACATTAATGGGGATCATTATTTCATGGCTAATTCTTTGATCCATTTTTCTGTAGTAAATCTTCATTTTTATAATTCTTATTTTGTTACATACTGATCGGATATCCTTGATCAAGGAACAGCTTCTAACTTTCACTTCTCAAATCAATGAAAATAAAAGGACACTGAGTTCCATGTACTTATATGGTTTTTGTAGAGGTTAAATGACATAATGCATATAGACTATAAATAGCTATATTTTTCAGAAAGCAAATGTTCCCAGTGTCTTCAATTCTTGTGAACATTCAAAGTGGACTGGAAAGTAATTGTGAACAGCAGAGTTAATTCCTGGATGGACAAGCAATGAGAAAAGCATTGTATTGGTATTTGTGATAGTGGTTTAAAGAGAATTTCACTTTTCTATTTTTTTTCTTCTTTTCTCAAGCCTGTATTGGAGAGTACTAGGATGCAGTGAGATACAGAGTCTACAGAAGCATAGGTTGACATATGTTCTAAGGAGCATTACATACTATTGAAAAGAATTCAAAGACATGGAGAGTAACCAGGTGGTAAAAAGTAAAGAGACAATTAGTTGACTGTTCTAATTTTTAAAACATAGGTAAACTTGCATAAAGTAATGGGAGTGTTGGCAGTTGAGAGAAATCTACTTAATAGTCCAGTACTTCAGGTGATAGCTTGGACCAAATGGAGTGTTTTGGACTAAACTAAATATTTCATGAAAAAGCTCTCTCAGATGCTTCTTTGAAAACCAATAGTATGATGATTTAATGAGAATGCTGTAAGACTGTAATGGTGATAGATAAAGCACTTTGTAATCTGATGTAGAATTTAAAATCAAAGCACAAAACCATCAATCATAAACTATAAAATAATTATCATAAATGGATATGCAATAATGATGTAATTTGTTACACTAATGACAAAGTATGAAGAACATGGAAAATATTAATATTAAAAATATTCAGCCTAGTACCGGTGTGAGGATGGTAGACGTCGGGACGCTGGTGGTGGGATTGGTGGGGTTCGCCTGATAGCGCCCACGCCCAGGTCAGGGGCCTCACCGGCCGCCTTGCGACCCGGAGGAGCTCTGCGGGAGGCCAGGTAGCGCGGAGCAGACCTGGCTTGTGGCGTTATCTAAACGAGGCTTACCAGCCCAAGACAGTATTTTAAAATGCATATTAAATCAATCATTCTCGAGGGATTCAAGTCCTACGCACAGAGGACTGAAGTCAATGGTTTTGACCCCCTCTTCAATGCTATCACTGGTTTAAATGGTAGTGGCAAATCTAACATCCTGGACTCCATCTGCTTTCTGCTGGGCATCTCCAACCTGTCTCAGGGCCGAATTACAAAAGTGTTAAATATGAAACCTCCAGAGATTTTATCCATGATAGAAGAAGCAGCTGGAACCAGAATGTATGAGTACAAGAAAATAGCCGCCCAGAAAACGATAGAGAAAAAGGAAGCCAAGCTGAAAGAAATTAAGACGATACTTGAAGAAGAGATTACTCCAACCATTCAAAAATTAAAAGAGGAAAGATCCTCTTATTTGGAGTACCAAAAAGTAATGCGAGAAATAGAACACCTGAGCCGTTTATATATTGCTTATCAGTTCCTGCTGGCTGAAGATACAAAAGAACGCTCAGCTGAAGAGTTAAAAGAAATGCAGGATAAAATATTAAAACTTCAAGAAGAATTGTCAGAGAATGATAAAAAAATAAAGGCACTTAATCGTGAAATAGAAGAGGTGGAAAAAAAAAGAGAA